TGATGATGATGACATCATTAATACATATTTTATTCATAATAGTGATAAAATCACAAAGTGTATCACAACTTTTTTTTTATTCGCGTGCACTAAGAGTACACCAAAGTAGTTCAAAAGTACACTGAAACAACTGAGAACATATCGATCTAAGGATCATTTTACTTCTGCTCCACGGATTAAGTTATGTAGGCCGAGAAATAAAGCTGGAATCCTCCACCTCATACCCTTCAAACAACATAAAAATCAAGCAATTACTATATAAGCAAATTAAACATTTATTAATAAAACAAAACAAATTAATTATTAATGAGTGCGGCAGCTTTTATAAGAAAAACTTACAGTTCATAAACGGCTTTAATGCGATGATTAGATGCGTATGAGATTAAGACATAAGCATCGAATGAGAGTTTTATATCATTGTTACAGTTGCTGCAATGATGCGTTATGATGGCTGTTACTGTATTTGCTTTACAGTTTAGAGGATCATCGATACATCTTACCGATAGACTCCTTCCACAAAGCGCGCCGTTATTCCACATTGAGTCTGGCACTTGAACGATAAGCTTCCCCTTATCTTCTTTTCCAAAACATGTAGACGCTGCATGCATGCAAAATACAATTGAGTATGCTACAAAAAAATACAAGCACAAATCTCGAGGTGATCAGAAGACCAGGACAAAAGAAGGCGTGCGGACGAATATCCACATCAAAAAAACAGAAAATTCACCCGCAGGCCGTCGATCGACTTTATTGTAGGATCAGCCGAGATTGGGAGAACTCAATCAAGCAGCCATGCACTGTTGTCAAATGATTAGATTTCTATAAGAACATATGGATCGCTGGCATGGTCAGTCGCCCAGAAATATTGATCGACTTAAATAGCATAATCGGTCGACTCGAGACATTGGTTGACCTACCGACACCAACTTTCACTTATGTTTCAATGTAATTTTTACTCGACAGACACTTAGATTCAATCATATGGGAAGTAATAGTAAATTTTCTTTCTATTTATGTAATTGTATTTTGAGTCATCTATAAATAGAAGTTCAAAATATCAATAAAAGAATTTTTTGATTCTCTCATACTTAAAGTACTCTCTCTCTCTCTCTCTATCTCTCTACTCCTTACAAGCTTTAACTTTGGGGGGTTTGTTTCCAAGAATATAATTTAGGATACAACAAATCCAATAATTATATATAAGAATTATAAGATATATATGAAAGTGTCTTTTTATATATATAATATA